CCCTTTGATTAGACCGGGACGGGCTCCGCTACGGTACTACATAACCTCGCAAGCAGGTTTACAAAATTCAAAACCTTGTCTACAATAAAACCATTAAGCCACGGTTTAAGGTGACCAATCACGTCGGCAAGAATCCTCCTAAGGTCCCCTATGATGTCATGATATCACGCTAGCCTCCGGGACTCGGACTACCGATACCCCTACCTTAGCGCCCAATCTCTACATCGATCCTCTACGAGCAGTTGTAACGGTATCTCCCGCGATGGAACTTTTCGACAACAATGATCACCCATGGACGCCCCCCCGTTTCTTGGCAACTAACATTATCAGGTCATAACTGATAAGCCATCCTCGGGCAGCTTGTCCGAATCAAACACTCATTCATTCTCAGATGTTTAAGCGGGAGTTTTCCATTGGGATCAATCGCACACGAAGGAGCTAGAATAAAATCCCTTTTCTGCGGGAAATGCCGCTACTAAGACCCAGTAAGAAATCCAACTTGACAGGGTGTAATCGATGCCAAGTTACTGACGTGTAATATCACTTTCATCCATTCCCGCTTTTGAAGGAGGATTGGATACTGCTAGGGACTTTTTTCTAGTTGCACAAACAACTCATGATCACACCAATTTGTTTTTCATCCGCTGCGCCTCAAAACGCGAATCTATGGAAGTTTCCTATCAGCGCTTAATTCGATCACGCTACTGCAACATTTTTACAGTTGACCCCGCTTGGTGCCTCCCCCCCCCTCCCGAACACTCAATTCCTATATACCCAAGCATCTGGTCGTGCACTCAGTTCTAGCAGCGATTGTCCCGCCAACAAGGGTTAGAAAGACGTTATAGATGAGTACAGACCCTAATATCCCGAGATTCAATGCAAGAGGAACAGGCAAGGCTTCCATAGTGCCCCTCTAATACTAAACCCATAACCCTCTATTCAAGGAAGACTTTAAAGTGGCTCTATAGGACAGAATTGATAGGAGTGGTTGCGGTTATTGGAGTTCGCTGAGGGCACTTTCGGCATGCTATCATGTACCAGGCACCAACGCCTAGGCCACTAATTCCAGTGCTGTACAGTACAGCGCCCGCCCCACCCCAGGAACCCTTATCGGCCCAACGTTTGCGACCAGCTCCGGGTGCACAATGCCAAGCCACCAGCCCCTGCGGTTACGGTTGCTGGAGGGCTGAGGATCCAGTAACTTACTCGTATCCCTTGACTGGAAGTGCCCGTGCCACCAGCCCGGACAAATGGGGTGGCAGGTCTTCGGTGAAAAGCAAAGTATTAGCCCCCCAATTCTCCATTTCATGCGATGCACTCGTATCCTTCCCACATTCTAATTCCAACCTCCTCCCTCGTAAATCGGTCACCCCAAGCGCCCAGCCGAGAAGGCCAATCCCGAACCGCCGAAACGAATTCCGCTTCCCAATAGCTCAATCCTTCTCTCAAAAGGGCCTCGCACATCACGTCTCACAGCCGGCCAGCATATCTGTGCTAGCACTAACCCGACCGCCTAGCACTCCATCCAGGAGACAACCTTGCAGCCACACATCGGGACTGCTCCCGCAGACACCTCCCCCCGGGAAGCCCCGGATGGGATGACAGTTTTAACGTCAACGGGCAGTGACGAGCAATGGGCGGCATGCATCGCACATGGCCATCGTAGCGAATCACGAGTGGACAGTTGAAACATCCCCAGCCTTCGGAATGCATCCGAGCTCCCAAGAAAACGCCGGTAGCAGGCTACTGCCTTGGCCCACGCCTTGCAGATCGTACGGCAAGAGGGCTCGCTTACTGTGGGAGGGGTGACCAAGAACTCTGCAAAGATTACCGCGCCGCGCACCTTCTACCTGGGCATTTTTTGGGCAGGGGTCTAATAACCAAACCTATGAGCCCAAAAGCCGACCTACAGTGAAACAAGATAACTCGCAAGTTGACCAAAATCAGTGTTGCTTAATCAAGCATACTAAGACCCGGCTTAGCGTACCAGAAAACGACACTTTTCTCACTTGAATAGTATTTCTTGTCAGATATTTATAAATGGATAGAGGCATGTTGAGGAGCTGTGAAGTCTCTGAACGAAAAGATAAAATTGTCATATTCCCCTAGGAGCCTATTCAAGGCACCCAGCACTGAGCCTACAACCCTCCAGGTCTTGAGGGGGTGACTGCTAGGAGTTACAGTACTCGGTTAATCGGGGTTAAGGGAATACTAAGTAATTTCCTTGCAAGGTAACAGCTCCCAAATACTTCCTGAATGGAGGAACGGCTCAAAAAATATGGAAGCAAGTAGAACCTAAGTGAATGTTCGATTCGGATAAGGAACAACATCATAGTACCGAGAGCAAATATGATATGCAAGTGTAAGACCTCCTCGGAAATTCTTACCGTGGTAACTGGACACCCAGAAATAGCAGTGTAGCTGCAATAATTGCTTTTGTCGCGGGTACTGTTGTGGAGTTGGTCGGCCCATTTGAAAGGTTCTACAGTACTGTACCCAATGCCGGCCGGTTTTAACCATAGCACAAAGATGCGCATGCATTAAAGATAGTGTCAATCAATTGCAGTTGAAGCAGCCTAGTCCGGGGCACTGGGGATTGCTCCCTGGAAACATTCGCGGGCGATTCCCCCTCGAATAGTACCTAACTTCGAGCACCCTTTCCCTCGCCTAGGACTCACCGTCACATTTGATCTCGTATTGGTGGCGCTTCCCTTATTTTTCACAGCCGGGCTGGGTGTAAAAGTTAGGTGTTGAACTGCTCCCGTATTCATGGTCTCTAAGTTTTTTTTTTAAAAAAAAAGGACAGCTGTTGGATGGCTCTAAAATTTTGCCCTTATGCTGCGGTCTGGACGGCATGTGATTGTAGTACATTTTAAAATAGCACTACCCCACGAACAATAACTATAATTGCTTGTTCAGCGATAACTCCCCCAACGCTCATGGGCTGGTTACTGGACGAAAGACTTTCTTGTCTTATCATACAGGCTAACAGCTTCTCAAGCTCTCGATCGGTCACAAGATATCACTGACCAACATTTTTTTCTCAGCTACCCAGCCATTCCAATTTCCTACTCTACCTAATGTTTTTATAACTCCACAAAAACTGGAGTTATATTTTCTCTTCCCCACCCCTGGTTTGAAGCTAATAGCTAATAGGATGCTCTATCACTACACAGCCGGGTTTTGTTTTTGTTTTACACGGAAGCCTCCGTGAACTACTGGTAGCCTGCAGAATTTGAAGTTGTCACTAGAGTACATAGCCTAGCGCCCCTACTACCAAAATCTGCTGCTGTACAGGTAACTGTATCCCGAAACATTTTGGGGTTAGTCCCTAACCGTAGGGAGCTCAAAGTCTCCGTTTTTGCCTCTGAGCCAGAGAGTGATACGAGAGGCGCGTGGACCTTTTCGAAGGTATTACTGTCTTTGGGTTAGGCGCAGCCCAAGTGCCAACCCCTTTCACCTAAAATTTCTCATTCCAGTGCAACTGCCACGAAAGCATTGGGAAATGCACAGCAATAATGATCACAATGTTGTGCCATGAGAACTCAGGCTATTAGGGATCCAATATTCAGCAGACAGTGTTCCCAACCGTCCAGTCCGTCCGTTTTGCGGTAGGATGGGACGGACCACAGCTAGTAGTCCGTCTTTTTGGGAGTTCCAGGACGGACTACGCCCGGGATCGGTAGGACTACCGGGGACTACGGTCCTGCTGCACGAAATTCTAGGGCCAAAATAATCGTCCTCAGCAGTCCCCCATAGTGCCCCCACAGTTTCTGGCAGTCCTCCCGGCAGTCCTCCATAGTTACCCGGGAGTCCCCCGCAGTCCCCAGGAGTCCCCCATAGTTTCCCCGCAGTCCCCTGCAGTCCCCTGTAGTCTCCTGCCATCCCTGGCAGTGCCCCGCCCTCCCTGGCTATCCCCTGCCGTCCCCGGAGGTCCCCCACCGTCCCCCTTGCCAACCCTGTTTCACCCCATAGGGCCCGCCGTCAGCTCAAAGACGCCATCCTCTACTTTCACCGGCCTGGACGGACTGCACACGGCCATCCCGTCCAGGGCTCTTGGCAGTCCCCGCGTGGGGCCCCACCGAGCCCCCGGAGGTTGGGAACACCGGTCAGTAGAATTTTCCTCAATAGCCTCACGATGGGGTTAGTCTAGCAAGTTAAGGAAATTTAGAAAAAATGGGTTAATGAGGCCCAACAAGGTTATAGGGCAAAGACTTTGCAAGAAATGAAAGCATTAACTCCCCTCAAAGATTGCACCCTCTGAATTTTGAGATTAGATGCGTAGCGGTGATAGGGAATGGAGGTGCCCTTTTCACTGCTCACTCCCCAAGTGGCATTTGCGTACTCTTTTTGTATCTTCAACTCTCTGTTATGTCACTCCTAGGGGAGAAAACCCCTGGTTAACTTTCTTGAATACCCAGTGAAATCTCGAATCGCTACAGTATTTATCTGAATCTGCCAGCAAGAGGTAATCTTGCACCCTCCGCTATCCGCTATCGATAGCCTTGCAAGGCCCAAGTACTTTTTTGTATCACAATCGTGGCGTTCAGCCCTGGTGTGGGAGTATATCCGTGGCGGCTTTTCTTTGGCTCGAAAGGACTTGTTGTGCACCTTCTTAATGCATAATGTGTAAAACCGGCAAATCAACTAGAGGCATGTGACCGGATAGAACCCTTCTTCAACCCCGGGGTTGAGTGCCTCTCTTTTATATTCCGTATGTTGCTTCAGGTGCCCACCCTGGCTCATAACAGGAGTTTCGAATAACCTTAACTAGAACTTCTGCTCTACCACCTCTCCTAAGCCCCGGGGCGGAATTCATTCTCTTCGCAAAATCAAGCTGCAAATGGGTATTCATGTATCGAGTTTCTGGTGAGCCAATGGCCGATTTCGGGGGGTCGTTATCCAGGGGCACTGTTCCGTCGCAGCGGAGTAATGGCCACAACAGAGGGGACCGAGGGGGAGGGGCAAGTAGAAATTTCTCGTCGACAGAATCACCATTTCTAGGACCCGAGCACAGCCGAGAGCACTCGAACACCTCGCCAGCCTGGAAGCCAATTTGGTACACTGGTTGGCACACCGGCGTCTTGATTTGTGCCGCTTCTGCAGTTGTTGTTCTTTTTATAAACGTCGGTTTAACAATCTATGCTGCCCTTAACCCGGGCTACGAGATGGAAGGGGGAATTGTGACGCTATACCGGGGAGGCAGTTGTGATCAGAGCAAGACAATTGGGACGTGGTTGCACCTGGGGATAAATGTCCTTTCCACCTTGCTATTGTCCGGCAGTAATTATACTCAGCAGTGCCTTGCAGCGCCAACCCGCAGCGAGATTGACTCCGCGCATGCGAGGAGAAGATGGATGGATATTGGTGTTCCGAGTGTTAGGAATTTGTTCAGGATTAAGCTAGAGAGGACATTCTTGTGGATAGCTATTGGGCTTACGAGCATTCCGTTACATTTACTGTACGTTTGTCAGGGTTGCCATGCCCAGAAGGGTTATGGGGGTAGCTAATAGGGATATTCTAGGTACAATTCCGCAGTATATACTTCTTTAACTGCGAATAGTTACACCGTGGCCGCTGTAGCGACCAACGATATTGAGCCGGGAGGGTACCCGAACATGACCGATGCGTTGGGGGGCGACCACGAATTCTCACACGGGGACGACATAGAGCTATTTCGTCGTGTCATTGAGAGATACAGAAACCGTACACGGATCTACCAATACCTTGAACCTTCTGACTGCACGGAGCGTTACAACAAGGATTTCCTCTCCGACCGGAGTAACCTGTTCCTGGTTGTGAAAAATAGCTCCACCTCCACTTATAATACGACCCTCCTGGATATGTTTGATGTAACCGCCGGGGATCCCACGACAAGTACGTGGATGTGCACAGACCACTTGGTCACCGAGTATGGCGAGTGTGATCCAAACGAGCTAGTCAAAAATTTGAAGGATGGGTATCTATGGCGGATAAAGCTCAGAAGCGTGAAGGATGAGGTAGAGATTAGTGGATGTATAAGCGAGATGACGGATGAGAATTGCACGGTGCAGTTTACCCTACAGATCATGATCGTCGTTATCTGCTGCAATTTTGTTAAAGCTTGCTGTATGATCATGGCGGTTGTTAGAACTCGGGAGCCCACACTGGTTACATTGGGTGATGCGGTGGACTCTTTCTTAAGAGTCCCAGACCCGACCACAGTTGGGATGTGTTTTTCCGATCGGCGGTTCGCCATCTTGGAGTGGAGGCATGGGCGGAGTATCGGAGCAAGACCGTGGAAGCAAGAGGGGGTGCAGAGGTGGTGGAGAAGTGTGAGTGAGACGAGGTGGTTGATCTGTAATTTGTTTTGTTTGATAACTATTATTGCCGCGGGGATCTTACTCGATATGGGAATACGGAAGGACGCGGAATACGGGAGCCCCGGCCTTAAATCAATGTATGTTCTCATGTTCCCCGTGCATTCGAGCACTTCCTTTGCGCACAATATTAACGGAAAATCAAAAAAAGGTGGAACAGAGGCTTGGGTAAAGTAAACAGTGTCTCCCTGGTTAGTTTGACCTTCAGAAACATAACCGAGGCAACCCTCCTAGCGAACCTTCCACAAACCATCCTCTCATTCCTCTACCTAACCTACAACTCCCTATTCACCTGCATGCTCTTGGGCCATGAGTGGTCTCTTTTCGCCCACCATCACCGCACCCTCCGTGTCACATCACCACGGCCAGGACAGCGTTCCACGTACTGGCTTCAAGTACCATACACCTACGCCATCCCTCTAATGACTCTGAGCGGCCTCCTCCACTGGCTGACCTCGCAATCTCTATTCCTCGCTAGGGTTGATATATTCAATGCGCTCGGGGAATCGATTTCAACAACGATAAGTACAATAGGGTACTCCTGCATTGCCACCATTTTCGTGCTCACCCTCGGAATTGTTGCTCTGGTAACTGCAGCTGGGATGGGAAGTAGGTCATTTGCTGCAGAGATTACTACTGTTGGGAGCTGCTCTGCCGCGATCTCAGCCGCGTGCCATGCTTGGGGGGAGGATGCGGAGAGGCTTATAGGGAGGAAGATGCGCTGGGGGGATGTGGGGATTGTACAAAGTCAAGGGGTGAGGCATTTGACTTTTTCGAGTGAGGAGGGAGTTAGGGTGGGAAAGCCGGTGGTTGGAGAGCTCTATGCTGGGATAGGAGAGAAGGGGGAGTGATTGTCTATGATTATTTTTACAGAACGACTCCTGTTTTCAACTTATCATGGGGAAATATTGAGCTTGCAAAGTTGTAACTAGTTTTATCTTGCTTGGGATATTTGAGATATTTGGTACATAGGGAGGATTTTATTTTTGTTATTACCGTAAGTTGTATGGACTTGGTATATGTGAGGGCCCGCAGATTTATTATATGACAAGTTAACCCCTGGAGTAACGGACACTTAATATTCACCAGATTGTGTCTAGTGTGTTGTGCGGCTCCATGCGGGCCGTTCAAAGAACTCCACAAGCCAGAGCTTGCTTTAAACTCATATTGCGGAAAAAAAAACACAACGTGCACCACTGGCGGCTGTTGTCACTTTGGGCCGGTTAGCCATGTAAACCTCGGCACTCTGGATGTCCTCTACATACGCTTTTCCTGGCCGTTTTACAAGAAGCTATGTAATATACGGCGACATCCGTAAAGTTCTCTTCCTCTTTCCTGTTCCCGGAGAACAACACCTCTTGACGACAGGTGGATGGAGGAATTCTTCTAGATAACTGTTTTCAGATATTCTCATAAGGGCTCCGTAAATATCTATCACTAAGTCACAGGACGGATTGTCGAGGTCTCGAGTACTAGGAAGGGGCATGGGAAGTTTGTAGGCAATGATGTCTAGGGGGTACTGTCTTACCCCCCTCTCCTGTTTGTTAATGCTTGGCACTCTCGGAATCCAACCCTGTGAATGTTTTTTTCTTTTGAGAGCTTCCTATCTGACGGTGTAATAATATAGAGACTAAACAGTCAATAGAGATACACGATTATAGTAGTCATAGGACATCACTCGCTAATATTAGCCGCACAATAGAAGCCTCCCAGCCAGACTTAGGCAACTAGGTATATATTTAATGGGGATGGTATCTATAGCGAAGTATAGGGATAGATATTTTGGCAATTGTATGCGACAAAAACCTGATCTCACAATTAAAATTCAACAATCTACAGCAACTAATATATCAATTAATTGATAAGTTAAAGATAGAAAATTCAGATAGCAGATATAGTCTAAAACTAAAAGTAATTCCAAAAAAAACTAATATTTTGTATACCATCCTTAAACATTCAAAACTGCAGCCACTCTTGCCAGTAAAGTCTTATATAGAGTCGTTAATAGTATTTCTAAGAAATGCTTCTCAAGACCTTTAACATGAACATTATTTAAGGCTTCTACTAGGTATTTTCTAATAGTATCTGGATTAGCTTTTATCTTATGAATATCATAAACCTACTATGAAGCTTTTCTATAAGTCTCTTTAAATAGTACCATGACAGGAAAGAATAATAGATAGTTGTATGAATACAGTCTCTGGTGGGAAAAATCAGGAAACGGGGATCGGGCTTCTGGGGTTTTGATTGGAGAGCTCGGTGTGCTCGAGCCAATTGAGCGACCGTATTTCTGACCTTTAATTTCCACATTTCCCAATTTTTTTTCGACCAGAGGCTGTAATTATCTGTACAATTCTTTGAACTTATATGGGCTTCTTCCTATACCTGCTTATGTAATCAAAAACAACCATAAGTTACAATCATAACTTGCGTGAAATTCCATGACTCATAAAACTACTTTATATGTAAAAAGTACTAAAAACCTTCTGACTCAGTTCTATAAGTTATGGTTATTTTCCTATAATCTCAGCTAATTTAAAATCAAATATAACAACCATGACTTGCAACTACATGTCACATGAGATCCTATGACTTATATCTAAATCATGGTACAAACCCATAGCATCATATAACTCAAGCAAGTCATTTTTGTAATATAAAAACTTAATAAAATAATATAAGTCGCTTCGCCTTCGGCCGCAATGTCGTTGATATGGTATAAATAGTACAAAAAAAGATACCACTCCCTGGCCACTCCCGCAAACTATCCTGAATACAGTCTCTGGAGCCCGCGCTGCGGAGAACAAACGACAACTAGAATCCACAAATAATTGTACCCAAAAAAAAAAACTACTATCACCCTCGCCCCTACTTACTATGGGTGGCATTCTCATTCAATACCTAGTTGCCCAAGTCCAGTAGGGAGGCTCCCGTTGTCCGGCCAAGACGAACGAGTGATATACCATGACGCTCATAATCAGGAATCTTCCTTGATTGTTTAGTTTCTGCATTATTACACCGTCCCATAGGCAGTTCGCAAAAAAAAAAAATTTCACAGGGTTGGATTCTGAGAGGGGCCTGTCTTACCCAAACAGGAGGGGGGGTAAGACAGTAGTCTCGACATCCGTGCCCACAAACTTCCAATACCCCTTCCGAGTACTTAAGCCCCCAACAATGCTTCCAACTACTCAATAAAGCTGGTGGTGACAAACCCCCACGGTGTCCCAACGATAATACCCGAAAACAGCCACCTATAGAAGAATTCTCCCATCCTCCCGCCGCCAAGAGGTGCTGTTCTCGGGGAAGAAAGAAGAGAACTTTGCAGATGTCGCCATTTATTTCATAGCTTCTTATAGTACAACCAGAAAAAAGCGTATGTAGAGGATATCCAGAGTGCCGAGGTCTACCTGTCTAACCGGCCCAAAGTTACAACAGCCGCCGGTGGTGCACGTTGTGCTTCTTTTTCGTGCAATATCAGTTTATTGCAGGCTCTGGCTTGTGGAGTTCTTTGAACCGCCCACATGGAGCGGCACAGCGTACTAAAGACAATCTAGCGAATCTTGAATGTCCGTTGCTCCAGGGGCTCGCTATGTAAGAAGACAATGTAGATCCGAGGGTTGGTGCAGTTTCTAGGCAGCATGGTTGACGCGGGGGCTAACTTGCCGTATAATAAATCTGCAGCCCTCACATACACCATGTCCATCCAGCTTACGGTAATGACAGAAAATAAAATCCTCCCTATATACCAAATATCTCAAGCAAGATATATCTAATTACAACTCTGCAAGCTCAATTTTTCCCCATGAGAAAGGAGACTTTCTGTAAACAGAATCACAGACGATCACTCCCCCTTCTCTCCTATCCCAGCATAGACCTCTCCGACCACCGGCTTCCCAACCTTAACCCCCTCCTCGCTCGAGAAAGTCAAATGCCTCGCCATTTGACTTCGTACAAACCCCACATCTCCCCAGCGTATCTTCCTCCCTACAATCCTCTCTGTGTCCTCTCCCCAAGCATGGCACGCAGCGGAAATCGCGGCAGAGCAACTCCCGACGGTAACAATCTCTGCAGCAAATGACCTACTTCCTATCCCAGTCGCAGCCACCAGAGCAAGAATTCCGAGGGTGAGCGCGAAAATAGTGGCAATGCACGAGTATCCTACTCCACTTATCGTTTTTGAAATCGATTCCCCGAGCTCATCGAATACATCGACCCTAGCGAGGAATATCGATTGCGAGGTGAGCCAGTGGAGGAGGCCGCTCAGAGTCATTAAAGGGATGGCGTAGGTGTATGGTACTTGAAGCCAGTACGTGGAACGCTGCCCTGGCCGCGGTGATGTGACGCGGAGGGTGCGGTGATGGTGAGCGAAAAGAGACCACTCGTGGCCCAAGAGCATGCAGGTGAATAGGGAGTTGTAGGTTAGGTAGAGGAATGAGAGGATGGTTTGTGGAAGGTTCGCTAGGAGGGTTGCCTCGGTTATGTTTCTGAAGGTCAAAGTAACCAGGGAGACACTGTTTACTTTGCCCAAGCCTCTGTTCCACCTTTTTTTGATTTTCCGTTAACACTGTGCACCGAGGGAGTTCTTGAATGCATGGGGAACATGAGAACATACATAGATTTAAGGCTGGTGCTTCCGTAGCTAGCATCCCGCCGTATCCCCATCCGGAGTAAGATCCCCGCGGCAATAATAGTTATCAAACAAAACAAATTACAGATCAACCACCTCGTCTCACTCACACTTCTCCACCACCTCTGCACCCCCTCTTGCTTCCACGGTCTTGCTCCGATACTCCGCCCACGCCTCCACTCCAAGATGACGAACCGCCGATCGGAAAAACACATCCCAACTGTGGTCGGGTCTGGGACTCTCAAGAAAGAGTCCACAGCATCACCCAATGTAACCAGTGTGGGCTCCCGAGTTCTAACAACCGCCATGATCATACAGCAAGCTTTAACAAAATTGCAGCAGATAACGATGATCATGATCTGTAGGGTAAACTGCACCGTGCAATTCTCATCCGTCTTCTCGCTTAGACATCCGCTAATCTCTACCTCCCCCCTTGTCAGCTCCATCCGCCATGGATGCCCGCCCTTCACATTCTCGACTAGCTTGTTTGGGTCACAGGGGCTATCCCGGGGGGCCAAGTTGTTTCTGCATATCCAGTTACTTGCCATGGGCTCCCCACCACTTACCCCAAACATATCCAGGAGGGTCGCATTATAAGTGGAGGTAGAGCTATTTCTCACAACCAGGAACAGGTTACTCCGGTCGGAGACGAAATCTCTGTTGTAACGCTCCATGCAGTCAGAAGGTACAAGGTATTGGTAGATCCGTGCTCGGTTTATGTATCTCTCAACCACGTCGCGAAACAGCGCTCCGTCTCTCCATTTTAGGAATTCCTGGCTGTCCTCCAACCCATCGAGCATATCGAGGTACCCTCCCGGTTTGGCATCGTTGGTCGCCACAATGGCCACGGCATAACTATTCGCAGTTAAAGAAGTATACACTGCGGAATTGTACCTAGAATATCCCTATTAGCTACCCTCATAACCCTGGTGGGCATGGCAACCTCGACAAACATACAGTAAATGCAACGGAATGCTGGTAAGCCCAATAGCTATCCACAAGAATGTCCTCTCCAGCTTAATCCTGAACAAATTCCTAACACTCGGAACACCAATGTCCATCCATCTTCTCCTCGCATGCGCGGAGTCAATCTCGCTGCGGGTTGGCGCTGCAAGGCACTGCTGAGTATAATTGCTGCTGGACAATAGCAAGGTGGAAAGGACATTTATCCCCAGGTGCAACCACGTCCCAATTGTCTTGCTCCGATCGCAACTGCCGCCCGGGTACAGCATCACGGTTCCCCCTTCCATCTCGTAGCCCGCATTAGCGACAGCATAGATTGTTAAACCGACGTTTATAAAAAGAACAACCAGTGCAGTAGCGGCGCAAATCAAGACGCCGGTGTGCCAACCGGTGTACCAAACTGGCTTCCAGACCGGCGAGGTGTTCGAGTGCTCTCGACTGAGCTCGGGTCCAAGAGATGATAATTCTGTCCATGAGGAGTTTTCCCCTACTCCTCCCCCTCCGTCCCCTCTATTTTGGCCATTATCCCGCTGCGACAGAACGGTCCATGTGGGTAACCATTTTCTGAAATCCCCCATTGACTCACCAGCAACTCGATAAGCGAATACTCCTTTGCCGCTTGACTTGCGAAGAGAAATAATTCCGCCCCGAGGCTCGGGAGAGGCACTAGGGTAGAAGTTCTAGTTAAGGATATTCGAAACTTCTGTTAGGAGCCAGCTTGGGCACCAGGAGCAACGTGCGCGGTATAAATACAGGCACCCAACCCCGGGGTCGAAGAAGCGCTCCATCGAGCCGCAAGGCTCCTGTCGATCCGCCAGTTTTGCACATTAAGCATTGGGGTGGGCACTAGTGCTGCGCCCCAAGGGTAACCATAGACAGTCATACCTTCAAATGGACCATGAGCCTCCCTTATCACGCTTTGGCCCAGAAGCAAAAATGGAGACTTTAAACTCCCTATGGTTAGGAACTAACCCCAAAAACTTTTCGGGATACAGTTACAGTGATAGATCCTGTGCTATGTACTCTAGTGGGAACTTCAAAATCTATAGACTACGAGTAATTCACAGAGACTACTGTGTAAGAAAAAAAACCCACTCTTGAGTGACAGAGCATCCTGTTAGCCACTAGCCCCAAACTTATGGTGAGAAAAAGCGAATATCTCCTGGTTTTGTGGAGTTATAAAAGCATCAGGTAGGGTAGGGAATGGAAATGCCCGGATACCTCAGAGGAAAAATTATGTCAGTGATCTCCTTTGACTGATCGAGAATTAGTGAGGCTGTTATCCTGTAAGACAACAAAGCCTTTCGCCCAGCAACCAGTGCCTGGGTGTTGGAGGGGTTAACTCTAAATAAGCAGTTATACTTATTACTCGTAGCGTCGTGTCATTTTACAAAGCACTACAATCACATACCACCCAAGCCCCAGGAGAAGTGCAAGATTTCGGAGTCATCCAACAGCTGTCCTTTTTAAAAATACTTACTTGTAGAGACCATGAATACGAGAGCAGTTCTGCACCAACATTTAATTTTCTACACCCAGCCCGGCAGTGAAAAACAGGGGAAGTTCCACTAATACGAGATCAATTGCGTCCTACGTGCGCGAGGGAAAGGGTGCACTAAGCATGGTGCTACCAGAGGGGATGACCATGAAGGTTTCCGGGGAACAATCCCCAGTGGCCCGGACTAAGCCTCTTCAGGAACTGATTACGGTAACACTCTCTTGAATGCATGTGCACCTTGTGCTATGGTTAAAACCGGGGCGGAGCTGGGTATCATACCGTACTGTAGGGCCCTACAAACGGCCCAAAACTCCAGCACAGCACCCATGACAAAAGCAATTTGTGGCGTTACAGGACACCTGTTTCCAGGTACGGTACGG